TAATATTCTTCTTTTAATGTTAAGTTTTAAAATTCATATTCTTTATTTTCTACTTTCATTAATTTTTTGCAATAATTTAGAACAATAAATTGTTGAAAATATATTAACTAATAATTATTATAATTTAAATTGAAAACACTACTTTAAAAAGGTAAAATCATGAAGCAATAATCTACTCAGTTTTGCCAATATTTTTTACCATTCCCCTCCCCGTAAAGTCATGTTACAAAAACCCATAAAAAAGATTTGGGTTTTTGCCCTACCCGCAATACCCACTAGAAAACGTCAAATTGAATTAGCTGGACATTTTGTAATTGACCAAATATGTACCAAGACTAGACTATAGACTAGACTATGGACTAGATTATAGACTAGACTATAGACTAGATTAAAGACTAGACTATAGACTACACTATAGACTAAACTATAGACTAGACTATAGACTAGAATATAGACTAGACTATAGACTAAACTATAGACTAGACTATAGACTAAACTATAGACTAGATTATAGACTAGACTATAGACTAGACTATAGACTAGACTATAGACTGGACTATAGACTAGACTATAGACTAGACTATAGACTAGACTATAGACTAGACTATAGACTGGACTATAGACTAGACTATAGACTAGACTATAGACTAGACTATAGACTAGACTATAGACTAGACTATAGACTAGACTGTAGACTAGACTATAGACTAGACTATAGACTAGACTTTAGACTAGACTATAGACTAGACTATAGACTAAACTATAGACTAGACTATAGACTAGACTATAGACTAGGCTATAGACTAGACTATGGACTAGATTATAGACTAGACTATAGACTAGATTAAAGGCTAGACTATAGACTACACTATAGACTAAACTATAGACTAGACTATAGACTAGAATATAGACTAGACTATAGACTAAACTATAGACTAGACTATAGACTAAACTATAGACTAGATTATAGACTAGACTATAGACTAGACTATAGACTAGACTATAGACTAGACTATAGACTGGACTATAGACTAGACTATAGACTAGACTATAGACTAGACTATAGACTAGACTATAGACTGGACTATAGACTAGACTATAGACTAGACTATAGACTAGACTATAGACTAGACTATAGACTAGACTATAGACTAGACTGTAGACTAGACTATAGACTAGACTATAGACTAGACTTTAGACTAGACTATAGACTAGACTATAGACTAAACTATAGACTAGACTATAGACTAGACTATAGACTAGACTATAGACTAGACTATAGACCAGACTATAGACTAGACTATAGACTGGACTATAGACTAGACTATAGACTAGACTATAGACTAGATTATAGACTAGACTATAGACTAGACTATAGACTAGACTATAGCCTAGACTATAGCCTAGACTAGACTATAGCCTAGACTAGACTATAGACTAGACTATAGACTAGAATATAGACTAAACTATAGACTAGTCTATAGACTAGACTATAGACTTGACTATAGACTAGACTGTAGACTAGACTATAGACTAGAATATAGACTAGACTATAGACTAGACTATAGACTAGACTATAGACTAAACTAGACTATAGACTAAACTAGACTATAGACTAGACTATAGACTAGACTATAGACTAGACTATAGACTAGACTATAGACTAGACTATAGACTAGACTATAGACTAGACTATAGACTAGACTATAGACTAGACTATAGACTAGACTATAGACTATACTATAGACTAGACTATAGACTAGACTATAGACTAGACTATAGACTAGACTATAGACTAGACTATAGACTAACTAGACTATAGACTAGACTATAGACTAGACTATAGACTAGACTATAGACTAGACTATAGACTAGACTATAGACTAGACTATAGACTAGACTATAGACTAGACTATAGACTAGACTATAGACTAGACTATAGACTAGACTATAGACTAAACTACAGACTAGACTATAGACTAGACAATAGACTAAACTAATGACTAGGCTATAGACTAGACTATAGACTAGAATATAGACTAGACTATAGACTAGACTATAGACTAGAATATAGACTAGACTATAGACTAGACTATAGACTAGACTATAGACTAGACTATAGACTAGACTATAGACTAGACTATAGACTAGACTACAGCTTAGTCTATAGTTAGTATTGTATACGGAGTGTATCCCTATTTCACGGAGAAACTTTTTCAATCACAATGTTCGCCAGAGGTTAATTTATCCTTTCGCAAAGGTTCGTTGATCCTTTGTGTCTTGCAAAAAACACACTGATGGCAATTTTCATACATGGCTGACCCCTATCCAGACACAAGTACTTTGCTTTTAGAAGTAATATATTCGTTTTTATATCATTCACCTTTGTCAGAAGAGTATAAGTGTCCGACCCTATAACATATATATATATATATATATATATATATATATATATATATACATATATATATATATATATATATATATATATATATATATATATATATATGTATATATATATATATATATATATATATATATATATATATATATATATATATATATATATATATATACAAGCAGTAATACGAATTCAATTAAGCCAAAGGCAAGTTTTTATTCATAAAAAATACACTGTGGTAAGTCAGGTATGACCACTGTTAACCCTGACAAGGAAGGAAAATTCATCACCATTCAACCCAGCACACTTCTCATTTGTCCGACATATTCATTGACAAAAAAAAAACATCAGACACATTGTGCATGTCATACATACGACTTCGATCCAACTCTTAGGCGTACAGTCACTACTCTGCGGGGTATCTGTTGTCTTTTTGGCAACAGCCATATCACCGTATATCAGTCCTTTAACCAGCATGTTGACAGAAATTTGATTTTAAACCAAACCACCACGTCCAACATCTCTCTAATAATAGGGATAGTACACTGTCAAATCATTCCAATTAAAAGCCAAGGATACTACTTATTGTCCCGGCAGACTAGAGGTATTGATACCACCTCTTTTTCCACCGGATTGCAAAGTTCATCAAGGTAAATTAAACCATAGAGATGAGGATGTTTTGAGCTCAGATTCGCAGTATATTTTCATATACATAAGTTCCTGAACTTTGACCTTTTATTAAATTTTATCGTCATGTGTAACTTATATAGAATAGACTTTGCAAAATTCTATCTAAATACATAAATAAAATTTGAAACAAATTCTTAAATCCCAGAGACAATTTTAGAACTTATTCTAAAAAACTAGAACGAGTACAAATAGAACCACTTTAGATTCTTAAATAACAATGTTGAAACTAGTTTTGTCGCCATTATTTCTGGAACCCGTTCCTCAGACCATTTGTGGTTTTTAAATACATGCAAATAGTATTCTAGGAACTATTTCTCTTTTTATATTTGAAACGTCGTTTCGACTTCATAACACTTTCACGGAACTAATTCCGAAGTTGACAATTTCGTCCAAAAACCATGGGCGTTGAGCAAAGTAGAACGAGTACAGGCTATAATCATGCGTTTTAGAACTAATTGTGGAACTAATAGAATTTTTCCTGGAATGTTGCATAATTTGACAAAAGTTTTTTATTCAGTTCAATAGAACGTTAAATATGTTATTTTTTAAAATGATTAAACAAAATTAAACAGATAATGATAACAAAAAAACATATTGCTGATAACTTTTAAACCGAAAATAGAAACGAATGATCATAACGAAGCAATGCCATGTTCAGATGTTAAAAAAATATAGTTTTTTAGCGGTCACATTAACAAATTTCTAACAATTTTCTTAGTTTAATTTATTAAAAATTTTTCTCCGTTTTAAATGAGAACAAGTAAGAAATTATAGTCGGGCGAGGCCGACCATATAATACCCTACACCTTTGACAAAAATATAATGTGATTTAGTTGACATAATAAAGCATTTAAGTTGAATTGTACCTTGCCTTAGATATACATACTTAAGCCGTTTATGAATAAAATTGTGGACATTTAAGTGAAATTTTGATGGGGGCTTTTCATAGGGGCTAGGGTCATATGAGAACCTATTATTATGGAATTCGTGGGGGTCATCAAGTCTTGTATACAATTCGGTTATTGCAGCTTTTTGTCGAGATATGAGTATATTAAACATAATTATGAACTTCAAAGCCCTATTCGGCGTGTTCAGTTGTATGGGGGCTAGGTGAAATAATGGACCGATGTAAACCATTCATCTACGGTAGACGATGTCTGTTGAAAATGGTTAACATCGGTCCATTATTTCACCTAGCCCCCATACAACTGAACCCCCGAATAGGGCTTTTAAAACTTGTAATCAAACTACAGGTCACAATTTTGGAGATAATTCAATGAAATTTGGCACATGATCTTTTATGGTACCGTAGATGAAGCCTGTTGAAAATGGTTTACATCGGTCCATTATTTCACCTAGCCCCCATACAACTGAACCCGCCGAATAGGGCTTTTAAGTTCATAATTATGTTTAATATACTCATATCTCGACAAAAAGCTGCAATAGCCAAGTTGTATACAAGACTTGATGACCCCCACGAATTCCATAATAATAGGTTCTCATATGACCCTAGCCCCTATGAGAAGCCCCCATCAAAATTTCACTTAAATGTCCACAATTTTATTCAACAATAAACGGCTTAAGTATGTATATCTAAGGCAAGGTACAATTCAACTTAAATGCTTTATTATGGCAACTAAATCACATTATATTTTTGTCAAAGGTGTAGGGTATTATATGGTCGGCCTCGCCCGACTATAATTTCTTACTTGTTTTAAATTTCTTTTTAAAACACTACAATTTGTATTCATTCCAAGATACATTTGATAACTTACTATTATAA